GAGCCCTTCCCGGGCTCGACAGGGGATCGGGAGCCTTTCCCGGGCTCGACAGGGGATCGGGAGCCCCTCCTGGGCTAAACTGAGGATTCCGAAGTCTCTCTGTAGGTCATCGCCGATGTGTTTTTCAGTCAGAACTCATTTCACACAGCGTGATTGTGAATCCCCGGCAGCTCCAGATATTTAGCATGCCAAATATTTTGCGGGCGTCGGCGACGTGTCGGCGATTCCCTCAGATCGCGTCTTTGATAATTCACACTGCGTGATTGTCACTCGCGTGAACGAGCACCGATTTGCCTCCGATGTCGGGCATTTGTAGGCGATTTCACAAAACCTGTCGGCGAGTGAAAAATCGGGCTAATATCGTGCAGTGTGAACTCGGCATAAAGTGAACCTCATATGATTGATTTTAAATGTTTTACATAGTGTGTGTATAGTGTTTCTCTAATTCTCTAATTAACTGTCAGTCAATTACAATAGAGACTTGTGCTAGCATAACTAATTTGATGCTGTAATAAGAAAAATAATACATAGCACAGACATATTTTTATTTGGAGACAATATTTAATTAAAATTAAAGTCTTGTATGACTCTTTTTCAATGTTTCAATGCATCCTGGTTGCTGTTTTTAGTCAAAATAAGTTATTTTAGTAGCCAGCAGAATGCTGCTATCTGCCTTTTGGAAAAGCCTTGATGTCGAAGTGTGTACTTGTGATTCTGAAAATCTGTCTAGATAGACAGCTTGGAACAGATCTAAAGACTCATTTCATAACTCAGGGCCCCATTCCTATATTTTGCCTGGGGCCCCCAATTCACTAAATCCGTCCCTGCCAACTGTATGTGTGTGTGTGTGTGTGTGTGTGTGTGTGTGTTAGACTAGTTCAAGTGTTTACGCAGTTAATAAAGTCTTACTTGTATTACACTTGAGGTTGTTTGTTGTTTGCTCATAACTGGAGTCCCTAATCATGCAGATTTTTGCTACATGCTCTGAGTAGTATTGTACAATAAGAAAGTTATTTTTGGTCATTGAATCTGATTCACCGCATTTTCCAGAGGTGTGATATTCTAGTGATAACAGAACTCTAACCTCCAAAAAAACATATATAATAATTATTATTATTATTATTATTGGCCAAATTAATATTTTAATTAATATTAATAAAGATGCACCTTATTAATCTTATTGATGGTCATTACATTTTTTTCTGTGTACATCGGCATCTTGGAACGGATCTAAAGATTCACTTCATAACTCAACAGATTCCAGTGGGATGGTTGTGTGTGTAATTAATGTACTCTAATTAGCAATGGCTAGTTACTCCTCTGGCGCTCTTCAGGACAGAATAATATCCTGAACGTTCCTTCATCAGATATTATAACCACATTTATAACCACATCACGTTTTGGTTTCTGATTCTGCAAAGCCAAATTACTTACAAAGGGAGACAAAAGATTGATCGCTTTCAATATGTAAATCCCCCAGAGCTAAAACACAAGTTTTCTGCAAGAGCCTTCACCACAACAGTCAAAGCAGATAAGTCAGGAACCCACTGAGAGCAGACCAACAGGACTATGAAGCACCCAATCCCGCGGTTCCAAATCACATCCGGAGGATGAAGATGGACTGTAACACTGAATTTGATTTCTTCAGGGCAGGAGCGCACTTGTCCTCTGCTATTCATAGGTCAAGCTTTGCACATTTCCAGCCAGAATGAATATTTCCTACATCCCATAATATGATCCATCTAAATGGGCGGTGTGGCAATGTGTGTAAATGAGACGCGAGCGCTTCATCACTCCAGTCAGCTCTATGAGCCCTAGAACCCATTCAGACCTCATTTATGACTCCCTCTATTCTTTTATAAGAGACATTCATCCACCTGCTTCACCAACCCATCCACCATTTACCAATGCAGACACCCTCATCCTCACAGAGAGAGAGAGAGAGAGAGAGAGAGAGAGAGGGGAATGGTTAATGGTGGTCCAGGCGAGACTAAAGCCCGACCGCTGCTTCTGAACTGTTTAGCATTCACGACTGTCTGCTGCTTCAATTTTGCAGAGACACGAGGAGGAGAAGAAATGCCACACAGAGCAAAAGACACACAGAGAGAGAATGAAATGAGCTTCAGTGAACAGAGAAAGACAGACAGCAGATGAGAGAGGAGAGCTGGATCACTAGCAGATGTGTAAGGTTGTATTTCTACTCTTAAATACTTTCAGATCTAGAGCGGTTAGGAGTTCATAAGACACTATACTGAGGATTAAGGAAGAACTGTGATTATTGCATTGAAAAAAATAGAAAATAAAACAATTAACAAACTGAATGAATGAAAAGTAATTTGATTTAAAATTATTGCTGATTAATACAATGACATTTTCGGATAAAATAAATAAATAAATAAATACATAAATAAATAAATTTTTAATTTAGGAATTTACACAAAATGTAAGAATTTATAAATGAATGAATGAATAAACATGATAAAATATAATATTTTTATTTAAGATTACTGCTGAATATAACTAAAATAAATAATCAACAACAACAAAAACAATAACAATAATAATAATAATAATAATAAAATTTACTTCTTTCTGCTTTCTACACATTGCTCAGAGATTAATCACAATTATTTTACTGTTTCATTCAACAAAAAAAAAATAATAATCAAGAAACAATTAATCAACCAAGATTCAGACAGAACTGCACATTTTATTGCTGCTGCATTAAGTATATTGATGTTGCTAATAATACCACAGGTTTATTATAGTATATATTGCACAAAACCAAACACACTAATTACAGTTGGGGTATGTCTAGACTGAATTATTCTCTAGAGAGTGAAGGAAGACTTGAAATAGGACTGATATTTGACTTTCTGAATGTTAGCATCACTCACCCATCATTGTGTTAAATATGCTAATGCTACTGCTTCTGCTAGTTCAGTGAAAGGTTCTGTTTACTATAAAATGAAACTTAAGGAGTCATAGCTCACTTTATTTATACACTTTTCAGAAGCTTTTGAGTTTTATTAACCTTAGTGAGGTACAAATGAGATGGTTTTCTCTACGCTAATTTGCTAAATTTGGTGTGAGCACTTTATTGTTTTCCGGCTCTTCTAACCCATTTTCCTCAAAAGCATATTGCCTGGCTTTAAACTCTGAGAGCTGTAGTTTACATGTCAGACGTTTGCTTAGCAAAACTGTGGGTGAAATGCTAATTTAATTATCACAGGAGTGTGGACAGTTAAGACAGTGGATCACAGCCCTGAAGTGCTTTTTGATTAATAGTCACTTACAGGGTTCTGGCCGTCAAACACGGCTCAGCATGTGAATTAGCATCTCAAAGGGAAGAGAAGCTGATGACATCCTATTGTGAGGGAAATTACTGAATTTCTGCAGAACTCTCCTTTTAAGTTTGACTCTTCACTGGGGTCCATTACAATAAAGAAACGCGGCACTGAGTTGCTCCTGTGTACTGCGTTTGCATTAGATTTCACTGAACTCAGTTGGATGAATTGTTATATAAAAGGCTCCCAGAGAATGGAAAGGTGTTGATAGGTGAAGGTGTTTGTGTCAGGTAATGTTGCCGCTGGCTTGCTGTTGGATGAATGACCTGGGCTTGTCTGCATCACTAAGAATCACTGTAGACATCTATTTAACATAGAAAATCCATCTTAAGCCAGTGTGTGTTGTTGCAATGTTATTTATATACTATTGTAGTATTTATTAATATTTTGTGTATTATAGTAATTTTTAATAGTTGTATTAGTATTTCTGTTTAGCTTTAATTTATTTTTTTTATTTCAGTTTTAGTATAATTATTTTATTTTTTGTTTAAGTTTATTAAGTTTAAATTCCTCATCTAAAATTTATTTTATTGTAATAAGTTTTTTTTATTTTATAATTTATTTTTAACAGTTTTAGTTAGCAATATCAGCACTGAATTTAATTTGACTTTTTAAATTAAATTAAATTTAATTTAATTTAATTTAATTTAATTTAATTTAATTTAATT